ATATATATGCATGACTGGGACATTATACTGTACACCAGAAATTGACACATAACTGACTATACTTCAATTTAAAAAAAGGAAATCCTGCCATTTGGAACAACATGGATGGACCCTGAGGGCATTATACTAAGTGAAATAAGACAGAGAAAGACAAATTCAGTATGATCTCATATGTCATAGTTTAAAGTCCAATGCACTATCCATTGCACAACAGAGCCTCATATGTGATAGTTTAAAAAAAAAAATCAACTCAGAGTAAACCGGTGGTGCCCAGGGGCAGGAGGGAATGGGTGAAGGTGGCCAAATGGTACAGACTTCCAATTATAAAACAAGTAAGTTCTGGGGACTGACTGTGGCCAGAAGACAGGATGACAACTATAGTTAATACTGTACTGTATATTTGAAAGTTGCTAAGAAAGTAGATAAAAAGTTCTCACTACACACACAAAGATAACTATATGAAGTGACAGATGTGTTCACTAACCGTACTGTAATCATTTCCCGATAATATACCAGTATCAAAATCATTGCATTGTACACCATAAGCTTAAAAACTGTTAGATCTCAGTTATGTCTCAATAGGCTGGGCAAAAGATAATGGGGGGAAAAGGAGGGGATGGGATTTAGACACAGAGACACGCAGGGAATGCCGTGCCATGAGTCAACCAGGCATGGATAGGACTGATGTATCTGCAGGCCCAGGAACCCAGGGACTGCTGGCATCCACCAAACGCTAGGAAGGGGCATGGGACAATTCTCTCTCAGTCCCCAGGAGGAACCAACCCTGCTGATACCTTGATTGTAGGATTTCTTTCCTAACCTATAAGAATAAATTTCTGTTGTTTTAAGCCACCCAGTTTGTGGTAGTCTGTTACGGTGGCCACAGGAAACTTACATAAATGCTAATGTAGAAAATAAAAATTAGAAATATGAACCCCACTTTAATAAAATCATTTCCCCCTCCCCAAGTTTTTATAGAAGTAAAAAATGATATAGTAAGATCCACATTGAGATACAAATCATATAAAAGGGCTTTGACACAATTTGAGCAGAGAAATGCTTTGGCTTCTAACTAGAGCCTTGAGGTTTTCCTTTAGCTCTTTTATTCTCTCTTAAGAAAAAAAGTTTCTGAAAGTGAGCTTATGTATTATGCTTCCTTAAAAAACGGTGTTCACAGTTCCTTTGCCCGCTCGGTCTTAGGTGAAATGCAGCAAACATGGACTTTGAAAGGACAGCCTTTCTCGTGTTTAACAAACATTCCTGGAAGACTGCAGTTTCTTTAAAGCTAGAAGTACATTTGATGCCACATCCTAAAATGCAGCTAATAAACTGGGAAGTCCCCGGGAAACGTAGCCCGTGGTTCTTCTCCCTCACCCCCACTTCTCAGATTATGAATCCACTGGACTCGTTCCCTTGAATAACAGAGCCTTACCCAGAACTTGACCATGAGGGAACTTCCCTGAAATGACTGGAGGCTGTCGCTTCCAATGTGACAAAAGAGGCTGGACGTTTGTTTTCTCTCTTTCTACTTCCACACACAGTTCTAGTCTACTGGACGCTGAGGGGCACCGACTGCTGAAAAACCCAAATAAAACCGCGCACAGGGATGCCCGGCGGCGTGAACCATCACGTTTCTGGGAACAGAGGGAAGTTGAAGGAAGGGAAGGCAGGGTTCCCGGGGATGAGAAACTCAGCGCGGCGGGCGCCACGTGTGCCCGAGGAGTGCTGGCTTCGCGGGAGGTAGAGACATTCGGAGCCGACGGGCC